TGGAGTATGAGCTACAGGTCAGATGGTTAGACAACATCTACAAGCATCTGTAAACTTTACCAAGCCACTGGAGTATGAGCTACAAGTCAGATGGTTAGACAACATCTACAAGCATCTGTAAACTTCCACCAGGCTACTGGAGTATGAGCTACAGGTCAGATGGTTAGACAACATCTACATGCATCTGTAAATTCCACCAGGCCACTGGAGTATGAGCTACAAGTCAGATGGTTAGACAACATCTACAAGCATCTGTAAACTTCCGCCAGGCCACTGGAGTATGAGCTACAGGTTAGATGGTTAGACAACATCTACAAGCATCTGTAAACTTTACCAAGCCACTGGAGTATGAGCTACAGGTTAGATGGTTAGACAACATCTACAAGCATCTGTAAACTTCCACCAGGCCACTGGAGTATGAGCTACAGGTCAGATGGTTAGACAACATCTACAAGCATCTGTAAACTTTACCAGGCCACTTAAGTATGAGCTACAGGTCAGATGGTTAGACAACATCTACAAGCATCTGTAAACTTTACCAGGCCACTGGAGTTTGAGCTACAGGTCAGATGGTTAGACAACATCTACAAGCATCTGTAAACTTTACCAAGCCACTGGAGTATGAGCTACAGGTCAGATGGTTAGACAACATCTACATGCATCTGTAAATTCCACCCGGCCACTGGAGTATGAGCTACAAGTCAGATGGTTAGACAACATCTACAAGCATCTGTAAACTTCCACCAGGCCACTGGAGTTTGAGCTACAGGTCAGATGGTTAGACAACATCTACAAGCATCTGTAAACTTTACCAAGCCACTGGAGTATGAGCTACAGATCAGATGGTTAGACAACATCTACAAGCATCTGTAAACTTTACCAGGCTACTGGAGTATGAGCTACAGGTTAGATGGTTAGACAACATCTACAAGCATCTGTAAACTTCCACCAGGCTACTGGAGTATGAGCTACAGGTCAGATGGTTAGACAACATCTACAAGCATCTGTAAACTTCCGCCAGGCCACTGGAGTATGAGCTACAAGTCAGATGGTTAGACAACATCTACATGCATCTGTAAACTTCCACCAGGCCACTGGAGTATGAGCTACAGGTCAGATGGTTAGACAACATCTACAAGCATCTGTAAACTTTACCAGGCCACTGGAGTATGAGCTACAAGTCAGATGGTTAGACAACATCTACAAGCATCTGTAAACTTTCACCAGGCCACTGGAGTATGAGCTACAGGTCAGATGGTTAGACAACATCTACATGCAGCTCATCTCCATGCTTGATGGCCATGTGTGTGCGACCTCTTACAAAATGTCTCACTGCCAACAGACATCAATGGTGTTAGAATAATGAAATTAATTTAATTTACACTGGTCACCTGTCTTGCTGTCAGTGGGTGAGTGAGTGAGTTTAGTTTTACGCCACACTCAGCAATATTCCAGCTATATGGCGGCGGTCTGTAAATAATCGAGTCTGGACCAGACAATCCAGTGATCAACAGCATGAACATCGATCTGTGCAATTGGGAACCGATGACATGTGTCAACCAAGTCAGCGAGCCTGACCACCCGATCCTGTTAGTCGCCTCTTACGACAAGCGTGGGTTACTGAAGGCCAATATTCTAACCCGGACCTTCACGGGTCTGTCAGTGGAGTCCTGATTCACGTTCCTCTTTCTTAAAAGCTTTGGTTCAGTCAGCTAAATGAATGTCAGGCAAATATCAACTGGAGACCCGAGACAGATTTGGTGATGGCTCAGTAATGGTGTGGGGTGGCATCACTTTATATATTTATTACATCCAGAGAAGACTGGGCAAACATTTTGTCTTTTTTGGAGGACTCTGCCTGAGCTCACTGTGCACAAATCCTCAACGCCCACCTCAAGCTGCACAACATCCACAGAATGCCATGGCCTACAATGATACACAACAGTTCCCCAAATGAATACATGGGGTGGTGGGGTAGCCTAGTGGTTAAAGCGTTCGCTCATCATGCCGAAGACCCGGGTTCGATTCCACACATGGGCTCAATATGTGAAGCCCATTTCTGGGTGGCTGCAGGAGGATAAGCCGACCCTCAGTTTGGGAAACTCATATGTAGTGTGGCATGTAGAGTAATTGAATGTTTGATGAACATTGCAAGAATACACACGACTGATCCAAATTGTAAAATTTCCCATCGTACTCCTTCAAGATAATAGAGGGGTGGTGGGGTAGCCTAGTGGTTAAAGTGTTGGCTCGTCACGCCGAAGACCCGGGTTCAAATCCCCACATGGGTACACTGTGTGAAGCCCATTTCTGGTGTCCCCTGCCGTGATGTTGCTGGAATATTGCTAAAAGCGGCGTAAAACCAAACTCAGTCAGTCAGTCAAGATAATAGAAGTAATAGGAATAGTCTGCTTATGTGGCGCTCATTTCCAGGCACATTACCTGCTCACTGCACTACTATCCCTGGTCACAGGACACCATTGTACTATCCGATACTTTTTCAACTCCCTGGGGATCATACAGCCATGCTGCCTGTTAGGTGCAATGAACTAATCACTCACATTGCTATCACATCCTCATGGGTACCCATTTTACAGCTGGGTGAACTGAGACAATGTTGATTTAAGTGTCTTGTCCAAGGATACTACGCAAATGTGCCTACCTTGGGAACCGAACCTAGGTGCCTCCATCCGGGCCTGCAGCATGATAGGCAGACGCCTTACCACTGCACTTTTGGACTCAAGATCATTTGCAGGATATGTTTGCAATGTTGACAATAGCAGATGACCCTGCCTAGATGAACACAACCAAGCCAGGCAACAACTGTACTGCTTGGTGAGAGTCATCTATGTTTGTAAGGGCAGGTAACATTAGTGGTGTTACATTGTGACAGGCAACAACTGTACTGCTTGGTGAGAGTCATCTATGTTTGTAAGGGCAGGTAACATTAGTGGTGTTACATTAGGACAGGCAACAACTGTACTGCTTGGTGAGAGTCATCTATGTTTGTAAGGGCAGGTAACATTAGTAGTGTTACATTAGGACAGGCAACAACTGTACTGCTTGCTGAGTGTCATCTATGTTTGTAAGGGCAGGTAACATTAGTAGTGTGACATTAGGACAGGCAACGACTGTACTGCTTGCTGAGTGTCATCTATGTTTGTAAGGGCAGGTAACATTAGTGGTGTGACACTGTGACAGACAACAACTGTACTGCTTGCTGAGTGTCATCTATGTTTGTAAGGGCAGGTAACATTAGTGGTGTTACATTAGGACAGGCAACAACTGTACTGCTTGGTGAGAGTCAAATATGTTTGTAAGGGCAGGTAACATTAGTGGTGTTACATTAGGACAGGCAACAACTGTACTGCTTGCTGAGTGTCATCTATGTTTGTAAGGGCAGGTAACATTAGTGGTGTTACATTAGGACAGGCAACAACTGTACTGCTTGGTGAGAGTCAAATATGTTTGTAAGGGCAGGTAACATTAGTGGTGTTACATTAGGACAGGCAACAACTGTTCTGCTTGCTGAGTGTCATCTATGTTTGTAAGGGCAGGTAACATTAGTGGTGTTACATTGTGACAGGCAACAACTGTACTGCTTGCTGAGTGTCATCTATGTTTGTAAGGGCAGGTAACATTAGTGGTGTTACATTAGGACAGGCAACAACTGTACTGCTTGCTGACTGCATCTATGTTTGTAAGGGCAGGTAACATTAGTGGTGTTACATTGTGACAGGCAACAACTGTACTGCTTGCTGAGTGTCATCTATGTTTGTAAGGGCAGGTAACATTAGTGGTGTTACATTAGGACAGGCAACAACTGTACTGCTTGCTGAATGTCATCTATGTTTGTAAGGGCAGGTAACATTAGTGGTGTTACACTGTGACAGGCAACAACTGTACTGCTTGCTGAGTGTCATCTATGTTTGTAAGGGCAGGTAACATTAGTGCTGTTACATTGTGACAGGCAACGACTGTACTGCTTGCTGAGTGTCATCTATGTTTGTAAGGGCAGGTAACGTTAGTGGTGTTACATTGACTCAGAATTGTTCATATGTTTAAAAGAAAAAGATATCAGGTTGGGAAAGCCTTTAAGAATTTTTCAGAAGCTGTATGATCTAGGAATCTGAGACATTGATATGTGTTTTGTAACAATACAATTGGATGGCAGTAAAAAGTGACATTGAACACAATTCACTCACTCACTTACTCATTGGCTTACTCTGTCACTTACATTGACATCTGTATATGCTGACCCAACTAGACCGTAAAAGCAAATTAACAGATACAGTCTCTTTACTTTATTGCTAAGGATTTCAGTATATTTATCAAATTCGGCTCACTTTGGAACTTCCTTTGAACAATAGTACTTGCGTAAAAATAGGAAGTTATATACATTTGTTTTATTTGTGATGAAACATTCCTGCTAAGTGAAAGCTTGGTTGAGAATGGCCAAAGGTTGGGTGGGTGCCAAATATCTGTTTTGATCAAGCTCACTGTGTCTCTCTGATGATGTCTGATTGCTGCTCGGTCAGTCTCTAGTTTAGATAACTTAACATTATACAGCAATTGGGGTTTCTGGTTCATTTGCGTTGTATATTTGAAGGCAGAACTTATTGTACATGGATGTTTTTCACATATGAACTGTTTTGTTATAAGGAGTTTGGATTTGAATGAGGAAAAAGTACTCATGAAAGGTCTCAAAGAAATGCAGCCAACCATATTTTCTGGTATTGCATGTGTTGGGCTGGAAATAATGAAGAATCAGGAGAAATAGCTGTAGAGAATGAGGCATGTTTCCTTCTTGGTGTGAATTTCTAGTCTGACCTGCATGATCCCCAGATCTGTCACCAGTAACCATGTCCTAATAATGTTTGCCTTTAAATGCCTTTTTACAATGATGAATAAACAAGAGGTTGTTTCTGTGACATTAAACAAACTAGTGATTGAGCAGTAATCAGACAGGAACAGTATGTCTGATGGAAGCTCTTCTCCAGGTGTTGACGCTGTCTGGACTTTGTTCAGGACTGACAGAGGCAGTGGTCATCAATCCCTTCGAAGTTGTCAAAGTGAAGCTGCAGTCAGAGAGAAACTCGTTTCCCAAGGTGAGGTATTCTAACTCCACCTCCATTTCAACAAGAATGCAAGGATGACCTTACACTGTAAATATACAGAAACAGTGTGATAATTGTTGAAGATCATAAATATGCATGGGTGTAGAGTCATTTCTAAAATATTTTGTTATTCATAGTGCATTGTAATTTTAGACAATTATCATTTTTTGTTCATTGTCATTTTTTAACGTGTATCATTTCTGGATGTTCTGGTGTAATGTCATTTATATTGGATGGTATCCTGGGCATATACGTGAAGTATGCCTAGCCACTGTTCTTGATTGTTATAGAATATTGCCTTTTGTAGATTAGTAACTTGTCTAGATGGTTTAAAATAATTGTGATTAATTTTAACTCTGGAAGAAATATTTCATAAATGTTCATAAGTAATATTGTTTTTATGCACATTCATTTTTGCATAATCGATAAAGTTGTACCTCTAATGATCTTACTTGCCGGTGTATGCCTACAGTTCAGGTCTGTTGTTACATGCCTGTGTATGCCTACAGTTCAGGTCTGTCGTTACATGCCTGTGTATGCCTACAGGTCAGGTCTGTCGTTACATGCCTGAGTATACCTACAATTCAGGTCTGTCGTTACTTGCCTGTGTATGCCTACAGTTCAGGTCTGTCATTACTTGCCTGTGTATGCCTACAGTTCAGGTCTGTTGTTACATGCCTGTGTATGCCTACAGTTCAGGTCTGTCATTACATGCCTGTGTATGCCTACACTTTAGGTCTGTCGTTACTTGCCTGTGTATGCCTACAGTTCAGGTCTGTCGTTACTTGGCTGTGTATGCCTACAGTTCAGGTCTGTTGTTACATGCCTGTGTATGCCTACAGTTCAGGTCTGTCGTTACATGCCTGTGTATGCCTACAGTTCAGGTCTGTCATTACTTGCCTGTGTATGCCTACAGTTCAGGTCTGTCATTACTTGCCTGTGTATGCCTACAGTTCAGGTCTGTCATTACTTGCCTGTGTATGCCTACAGTTCAGGTCTGTTGTTACATGCCTGTGTATGCCTACAGTTCAGGTCTGTCATTACATGCCTGTGTATGCCTACAATTCAGGTCTGTCGTTACTTGCCTGTGTATGCCTACAGTTCAGGTCTGTCGTTACTTGGCTGTGTATGCCTACAGTTCAGGTCTGTCATTACTTGCCTGTGTATGCGTACAGGTCAGGTCTGTCGTTACTTGGCTGTGTATGCCTACAGTTCAGGTCTGTCATTTGCCTGTGTTGCCTGTGTATGCCTACAGTTCAGGTCTGTCATTACTTGCCTGTGTATGCCTACAGTTCAGGTCTGTCACTTGGTGTGTATGCCTACAGTTCAGGTTCAGGTCTTGCCTGTGTATGCCTACAGTTCAGGTCTGTCGTTACTTGCCTGTGTATGCCTACAGTTCAGGTCTGTCACATGCTTGCCTGTGTATGCCTACAGTTCAGGTCTGTCATTACTTGCCTGTGTATGCCTACAGTTCAGGTCTGTACATGCCTGCCTGCAGGGTCTGTCGTTACTTGCTGTGTATGCCTACAGTTCTTGCCGTTACTTGCCCTGTGTATGCCTACAGTTCAGGTCTGTCGTTTACTTGCCTGTATGCCTACAGTTCAGGTCTGTCGTTACTTGCCTGTGTATGCCTACAGGTCAGGTCTGTCGTTACTTGGCTGTGTATGCCTACAGTTCAGGTCTGTCATTGCCTGTGTATTGCCTGTGTATGCCTACAGTTCAGGTCTGTCATTACTTGCCTGTGTATGCCTACAGTTCAGGTCTGTCGTTACTTGCCTGTGTATGCCTACAGTTCAGGTCTGTCGTTACTTGCCTGTGTATGCCTACAGTTCAGGTCTGTCATTACTTGGCTGTGTATGCCTACAGTTCAGGTCTGTCATTACAGTTGCCTGTGTATGCCTACAGTTCAGGTCTGTCGTTACTTGCCTGTGTATGCCTACAGTTCAGGTCTGTCATTACTTGCCTGTGTATGCCTACAGTTCAGGTCTGTTGTTACATGCCTGTGCCTGTGTATGCCTACAGTTCAGGTCTGTCATTACAGTTGCCTGTGTATGCCTACACTTTAGGTCTGTCGTTATTTGCCTGTGTATGCCTACAGTTCAGGTCTGTCGTTACTTGGCTGTGTGTATGCCTACAGTTCAGGTCTGTTGTTACATGCCTGTGTATGCCTACAGTTCAGGTCTGTCGTTACATGCCGTTACATTTGCCTGTGTATGCCTACAGTTCAGGTCTGTCATTACTTGCCTGTGTATGCCTACAGTTCAGGTCTGGTCTGCCTACAGTTCAGGTTACATTTGCCTGTGTATGCCTACAGTTCAGGTCTGTCATTACTTGCTTGCCCGTGTATGCCTGTATGCAGTTGCCTACAGTTCAGGTCTGTTGTATTACATGCCTGTGTATGCCTGCAGGCCCGTGTATGCCTACAGTTACAGTTCAGGTCTGCCTACAGTTCAGGTCTGTCGTTACTTTGCCTGTGTATTACACATGCACTTACCCGTGCAATGCCTACAGTTCAGGTCTGTCATTACTTTGCCTGTGTATGTGTATGCCTACACAGGTCTGTCAGGCCTACAGTTCAGGTCTGTCGTTACATGCCTGTGTATGCCTACAGTTCAGGTCTGTCGTTACTTGCCTGTGTATGCCTACAGTTCAGGTCTGTCAGTTACTTGCCTGTGTATGCCTACAGTTCAGGTCTGTCATTACTTGGCTGTGTATGCCTACAGTTCAGGTCTGTCATTACTTGCCTGTGTATGCCTACAGGTCTTCACTTGCCTGTGTATGCCTACAGTTCAGGTCTGTCGTTACTTGGCTGTGTATGCCTACAGTTCAGGTCTGTTGTTACTTGCCTGTGTATGCCTACAGTTCAGGTCTGTCATTACATGCCTGTGTATGCCTACAGTTCAGGTCTGTCATTACTTGGCTGTGTATGCCTACAGTTCAGGTCTGTCATTACATGCCTGTGTATGCCTACAGTTCAGGTCTGTCGTTACATGCCTGTGTATGCCTACAGTTCAGGTCTGTCGTTACATGCCTGTGTATGCCTACACTTCAGGTCTGTCATTACTTGCCTGTGTATGCCTACAGTTCAGGTCTGTCATAGGGTCACTGAGTATTTCTAGGGTATTGCCACCCTTATGTAGTGATTTCTGATGCCCATTGTTTCTTGTTTATTTTCATTAATCCATTAAAAAAATTAACATTTGTCTGTTTTTCGCAGAGCAGCACTTTTGCAACAGCTCGTGAGATTGTGTCAAAGGATGGCTTTGGTCTGAAAGGTTTAAACAAAGGCTTATCTGCCACTCTTGGGAGGCATGGTGTCTTCAACATGGTCTACTTCAGTTTCTACCATAACATCAAGGCCCTTGTCCCAGAGATGGATGTGAGTTGTCCCTTCTTATTGCTGGCATCCATGACTCAAAACATCTTGTTGAGGCTTTAATGCCATTTGGTATAAGTGCAAGATTGAGGAGGATGTACTTTCATTCTTATATTTCTCCTCAGGCTGGCATCTCACTTTGTTTTGATCATTAATTCTAGTATGTTTGATATGAAACAAATGGAAAGGTTCTCTGGCATGAGTAAATATATTTTCTTTAGAAGACATATCAGGTTATAACTTTGTGATAATTAAACTCTAAGTGAGTTGTATTCCATTAGTCATGCTGATTCAAAAAGGTTGATTTATTTGTTTCATAACTAATGATTTATGCAGAAAATATTTGAAACATGACAACATTAGTTTGCAGAATTGAATTTCACTACCTGACAACATTAGTGTGTAGAGTAACATTTCAGTACCTGGCAACATTAGGATGCAGAGTAACATTACAGTACCTGACAACATTAGTGTGCAGAGTAACATTACAGTACCTGACAACATTAGTGTGCAGAGTAACATTACAGAACCTGACAACATTAGTGTGCAGAGTAACATTGCAGAATGTGACAACATTAGTGTGCAGAGTAACATTACAGAACCTGACAACATTAGTGTGCAGAGTAACATTACACAACTTGACAACATTAGTGTGCAGAGTAACATTACAGAACCTGACAACATTAGTGTGCAGAGTAACATTGCAGAATGTGACAATCTTATGGTACAATCTTGGTTCTTCACATTTATTAAAATGATAACGATAAAAACTTACCCTCTCACTTCAGGACCCAAAGCAAGATTTGGCTCGACGTTTTGTGATTGGTTTATGTGCTGGCATCCTAGCTTCCTGTATCAACATTCCATATGATGTAGCAAAAAGTCGCATACAGGGTCCTCAACCTGTTCCTGGGCAGATCAAGTATCGAACATGTAATGCAACAATCAGAACTGTGTACACAGAAGAAGGGTGAGTAACAGTAGAAAATAGACGGGTGGATAGTGAAGGTAGAAAATAGATAGGTTGACAGTGACAGTATGAAATACATGGGTGCAGAGTGACAGTAGAAAGTGGAGAGAGACAGCAGAACATAGAGAAGGTGGAGAGTGACAGTACGATGTAGAGAAGGTGGAGAGTGACAGTAGAACATAGAGAAGGTGGAGAGCGGCAGCAGAACGTAGAGGAGGTGGAGAGTGACAGTAGAACATAGAGAATGTGGAGAGTGGCAGTAGAACATAGAGAAGGTGGAGAGTGACAGTAGAACATAGAGAAGGTGGAGAGCGGCAGCAGAACGTAGAGAAGGTAGAGAGTGACAGTAGAACATAGAGAAGGTGGAGAGCGGCAGCAGAACGCGAGAGGAGGTGGAGAGTGACAGTAGAACATAGAGAATGTGGAGTGTGGCAGTAGAATGTAGAGAAGGTGGAGAGTGGCAGTAGAATGTAGAGAATGTGGAGTGTGGCAGTAGAATGTAGAGAAGGTGGAGCGTGGCAGTAGAATGTAGAGAAGGTGGAGTGTGGCAGTAGAATGTAGAGAAGGTGAAGAGTGACAGTAGAACATAGAGAAGGTGGAGAGTGACAGTAGAACATAGAGAATGTGGAGTGTGGCAGTACAATGTACAGAAGGTGGAGAGTGACAGTAGAATGTAGAGATGGTGGAGTGTGGCAGTAGAATGTAGAGATGGTGGAGTGTAGCAGTAGAATGTAGAGAAGGTGGAGAGTTACCGTAGAATGTAGAGAAGGTGGAGTGTGACAGTAGAATGTAGAGAAGGTGGAGCGTGACAGTAGAATGTAGAGAAGGTGGAGTGTGGCAGTAGAATGTAGAAAAGGTGGAGAGTTACCATAGAACATAGAGAAGGTAGAGAGTGACAGTAGAATGTACAGAAGGTGGAGTGATAGTAGAACATAGAGAAGGTGGAGAGTGACAGTAGAAGATAGAGAAGGAGGGAGTGGCAGTAGAATGTAGAGAAGAGGGAGGAGGACAGTAGAATGTAGAGAAGGCTGAGAGTGGACAGTAGAAGGAGGACAGAAGGTGGAGGAGACAGAACGAGAAGGAAGGATGAGGAAGAGGACAGACAGCCGCAGGAAGGAACAGGAGGAAGGAAGGAGGAAGGAGGACAGGAACACAGAAGGAGGAAAAGAAACAGGAGGAGGAAGAGAATGGGAATGAAGGAAGAACGTGGAGGAAGGAAGGAAGGAGGAAACAACGGAGGAGGAAGGAAGGAGAACAGGAATGAAGGAATGGAACGAAAGGAAGAAGGAGAACACAGGAAGGAAGAATGGAACAAGGAAGGAACGGAAGAAAGGAATAGAAGGACAGGAGGAAAGGAATGGAGGAAGGAATGGAAGGAAGGAGGAAAGAGGACAGAATGGAATGGAGGAGGAAGAAGGAAGGAAGTGGAGGAGGAACAGAGGAAGGATGTGGAACAGAATGGAGGAGGAGGAATGGAAGGTGGAGGAAGGAGAAGGAGAGGAAAGAAAGGAGGAATGGAGGAAAGAAGGAGAGAGAGAGGAAACAGGAGGAAGGATGGAGGAAGGAATGGAAGAAGGAAGGAAGGAGGACATGGAGGAAGGAAGGAGGAGAATGGAATGGAGGAAGGAATGGAAGGAATGGAGGAGGAAAGGAAAGGAAGAGAAGGAAGGAAAAGAATGGAGGAAGGTGGAGGAGAAGAAGGAAGAAAGAAAGGAACATATGGAAGGAATGGATGGAGTGGACAGGAACATGAGAATGGAATGGAAGGAATGAGAGTGGATGGACATGAAGAAGGAATGGAAAGGTGGAATGGACAAGGAGGAATGAAGAAGGATGGAGGACAGAGATGGAAGAGAGGAATGGAAAGGAGGAGTAGAATGAGAATGGAAGGTAGAAGGAGAATGGAGGAAGGAAGGAGTGATGGAATGGAGAGAAGGAATGGATGGAAGAGAAGGATGAGAGAATGGAAGGTAGAGGAATGGAATGGAGGAATGGAGGAGGAGGAGAATGGAATGGAGGAATGGAAGAGTGGAGGAAGGAGGAATGGAATGGAAGGAATGGAGGGAGGAAGGAGGAATGGATGGAATGGATGGAATGGAATGGAGGAATGGAGGAATGAATTGAAGAATGTGTGAATGGAATGGAATGGACATGGGAATGAATGGAATGGATAGAATGGAAAGGGGAATGGAATGGAATGGATGGTGGGAATGGAAGGAATGGAATGGAATGGAAGGTGGACAGAATGGAAGGAATGGAAGGAGGTGGAATGGAATGGAAGGTGGAATGGAAGGAATGGAAGAATGGATAGAGAAGGTGGATGGGATGAATGGATGAATGGAGGAAGGAATGGAATGGAAGGTGGGAATGAAGGTGGATAGAGAAGGTGGAGTGTGACAGTAGAATGTAGAGAAGGTGGAGAGTGACAGTAGAACATAGAGAAGGTGGAGAGTGACAGTAGAACATAGAAACGGTGGAGAGTGACAGTAGAACATAGAGAAGGTGGAGAGTGACAGTAGAACATAGAGAAAGTGGAGAGTGACAGTAGAACATAGAGAAGGTGGAGAATGGCAGTAGAACATAGAGAAGGTGGAGTGTGACAGTAGAACATAGAGAATGTGGAGTGTGAAAGTAGAATGTAGAGAAGGTAGAGAGTGACAGTAGAACATAGAGAAGGTGGAGAATGACAGTAGAATGTATAGAAGGTGGAGAGTGACAGTAGAAGGTAGAGAAGGTAGAAAGTGAAAGGTGACTTTGGTTGATATCTGTTTAACGTCTTTGTTCAAGTTTCTATGCATCACATGCCACTTTTTATATATCATGTACTATTTTCTTGCCAGCTTCTTTGCTCTGTATAAGGGTCTGCTTCCAAAAGTGTTGAGACTCGGACCAGGTATGTCTCACCAACACACAACAGATTTCAGGTCATTTCAAGACTGTTCAATTCAACTGAATCCTCTGCCTCTGTTACACCATTTGCCATAGAGTCATTACTAAATTAATTTAAAACAGATGACAACAACGTGAAAGAATTTTGTTTCAAAGATTTGATTTCTTTTCATCCAAATGTACTGTTTCAAGCCTATGGTGTTCACATGTTTTATGATTACTGTTCAATGTAGGTGGTGCAATCATGCTACTGGTGTATGAGACAGCATTTACTTGGATGCAGAAAAATCTTTGACAAAAAACTGATTTGATGGAAGTAAGTAACTTTCTCTTCAAACAGTACCACTTTACCATGATACCACTGTGCTTGACATGTCACTGTGAGCCACCCACTCTTGACTACCACAGTACAACTGTCTCTACCTTGTCACTGTGAACCACCCACTCTTGACTTATCACAGTACAACTGTCTCTACCTTGTCACTGTGAACCACCCATTCTTGACCTACCACAGTACAACTGTCTCTACCTTGTCACTGTGAACCACCCACTCTTGACTTATCACAGTACAACTGTCTCTACCTTGTCACTGTGAACCATCCACTCTTGACTTATCACAGTACAACTGTCTCTACCTTGTCACTGTGAGTGACCCACTCTTGACTTATCACAGTACAACTGTCTCTACCTTGTCACTGTGAGTGACCCACTTGACTTATCACAGTACAACTGTCTCTACCTTGTCACTGTGAACCACCCACACTTGACTTATCACAGTACAACTGTCTCTCTACCTTGTCACTGTGGACCACCCACTCTTTGACTTATCACAGTACAACTGTCTCTACCTTGTCACTGTGAGTGACCCACTCTTGACTTATCACAGTTCAACTGTCTCTACCTTGTCACTGTGAACCACCCACTCTTGACCTACCACAGTACAACTGTCTCTACCTTGTCACTGTGAACCACCCACTCTTGACCTACCACAGCACAACTGTCTCTACCTTGTCACTGTGAACCACCCACTCTTGACTTATCACAGTACAACTGTCTCTACCTTGTCACTGTGAGTCACCCCCTCTTCACTTATCACAGTACAACTGTCTCTACCTTGTCACTGTGAACCACCCCTCTTTGACTTATCACAGTACAACTGTCTCTACCTTGTCACTGTGAACCACCCACTCTTGACTTATCACAGTACAACTGTCTCTACCTTGTCACTGTGAACCACCCACTCTTGACTTATCACAGTTCAACTGTCTCTACCTTGTCACTGTGAACCACCCACTCTTGACTTATCACAGTTCAACTGTCTCTACCTTGTCACTGTGAACCACCCACTCTTGACTTATCACAGTACAACTGTCTCTACCTTGTCACTGTGAGTCACCCACTCTTTACTTATCACAGTACAACTGTCTCTACCTTGTCACAGTGAACCACCCACTATTGTCTTTTCACAGTACAACTGTCTCTACCTTGTCACAGTGAACCACCCACTATTGTCTTTTCACAGTACAACTGTCTCTACCTTGTCACAGTGAACCACCCACTATTGTCTTTTCACAGTACAACTGTCTCTACCTTGTCACTGTGAACCATCCACTCTTGACTTATCACAGTACAACTGTCTCTACCTTGTCACTGTGAGTCACCCACTCTTCACTTATCACAGTACAACTGTCTCTACCTTGTCACTGTGAACCACCTACTCTTGACTTATCACAGTACAACTGTCTCTACCTTGTCACTGTGAACCACCCCCTCTTGACCTACCACAGCACAACTGTCTCTACCTTGTCACTGTGAGTCACCCCTCTTCACTTATCACAGTACAACTGTCTCTACCTTGTCACTGTGAACCACCCACTTCTTGACTTATCACAGTTCAACTGTCTCTACCTTGTCACTGTGAACCATCCACTCTTGACTTATCACAGTACAACTGTCTCTACCTTGTCACTGTGAGTCACCCACTCTTGACTTATCACAGTACAACTGTCTCTACCTTGTCACTGTGAGTGACCCACTCTTGACTTATCACAGTACAACTGTCTCTACCTTGTCACTGTGAACCACCCACTCTTGACCTATCACAGTACAACTGTCTCTACCTTGTCACTGTGAACCACCCACTATTGTCTTTTCACAGTACAACTGTCTCTACCTTGTCACTGTGGAACCACCCACTCTTGACTTATCTCTTAATACAACTGTCTCTACCTTGTCACTGTGAGTCACCCCTTCACTTATCACAGTACAACTGTCTCTACCTTTGTCACTGTGAACCACCTACTCTTGACTTATCACAGTACAACTGTCTCTACCTTGTCACTGTGAACCATCCACTCTTGACTTATCACAGTACAACTGTCTCTACCTTGTCACTGTGAGTCACCCACTCTTGACTTATCACAGTACAACTGTCTCTACCTTGTCACTGTGAGTGACCCACTCTTGACTTATCACAGTACAACTGTCTCTACCTTGTCACTGTGAACCACCCACTCTTGACCTATCACAGTACAACTGTCTCTACCTTGTCACTGTGAACCACCCACTATTGTCTTTTCACAGTACAACTGTCTCTACCTTGTCACTGTGAACCACCCACTCTTGACTTATCACAGTTCAACTGTCTCTACCTTGTCACTGTGAACCACCCACTCTTGACTTATCACAGTACAACTGTCTCTACCTTGTCACTGTGAACCACCCACTCTTGACCTACCACAGTACAACTGTCTCTACCTTGTCACTGTGAACCACCCACTCTTGACCTACCACAGCACAACTGTCTCTACCTTGTCACTGTGAGTCACCCCCTCTTCACTTATCACAGTACAACTGTCTCTACCTTGTCACTGTGAACCACCCACTCTTGACTTATCACAGTACAACTGTCTCTACCTTGTCACTGTGAACCACCCACTCTTGACTTATCACAGTACAACTGTCTCTACCTTGTCACTGTGAACCACCCACTCTTGACTTATCACAGTTCAACTGTCTCTACCTTGTCACTGTGAACCACCCACTCTTGACTTATCACAGTTCAACTGTCTCTACCTTGTCACTGTGAACCACCCACTCTTGACTTATCACAGTACAACTGTCTCTACCTTGTCACTGTGAACCACCTACTCTTGACTTATCACAGTACAACTGTCTCTACCTTGTCACTGTGAACCACCTACTCTTGACTTATCACAGTACAACTGTCTCTACCTTGTCACTGTGAGTGACCCACTCTTGACTTATCACAGTACAACTGTCTCTACCTTGTCACTGTGAGTGACCCACTCTTGACTTATCACAGTACAACTGTCTCTACCTTGTCACTGTGAACCACCCACTCTTGACCTATCACAGTACAACTGTCTCTACCTTGTCACTGTGAACCACCCACTATTGTCTTTTCACAGTACAACTGTCTCTACCTTGTCACTGTGAACCACCCACTCTTGACTTATCACAGTTCAACTGTCTCTACCTTGTCACTGTGAACCACCCACTCTTGACTTATCACAGTACAACTGTCTCTACCTTGTCACTGTGAACCACCCACTCTTGACTTATCTCAGTACAACTGTCTCTACCTTGTCACTGTGAACCACCCACTCTTGACCTACCACAGAACAACTGTCTCTACCTTGTCACTGTGAACCACCCACTCTTGACCTACCACAGCACAACTGTCTCTACCTTGTCACTGTGAGTCACCCACTCTTTACTTATCACAGTACAACTGTCTCTACCTTGTCACAGTGAACCACCCACTCTTGACTTATCACAGTACAACTGTCTCTACCTTGTCACTGTGAACCACCCACTCTTGACTTATCACAGTACAACTGTCTCTACCTTGCCACTGCGAACCACCCACTCTTGACCTACCCCAGTACAACTGTTTCTACCTTGTCACTGTGAACCACCCACTCTTGATCTACCACAGTACAACTGTCTCCACCTTGTCACTGTGAACCACCCACTCTTGACTTATCACAGTACAACTGTCTCTACCTTGTCACTGTGAACCACCCACACTTGACTTATCACAGTACAACTGTCTCTACCTTGTCACTGTGAACCACCCACTCTTGACTTATCACAGTACAACTGTCTCTACCTTGTCACTGTGAACCACCCACTCTTGACTTATCACAGTACAACTGTCTCTACCTTGTCACTGTGAGTCACCCACTCTTGACTTATCTTAATACAAATGTCTCTACCTTGTCACTGTGAGTCACCCACTCTTGACTTATCACAGTACAACTGTCTCTACCTTGTCACTGTGAGTGACCCACTCTTGACTTATCACAGTTCAACTGTCTCTACCTTGTCACTGTGAACCACCCACTCTTGACTTATCACAGTACAACTGTCTCTACCTTGTCACTGTGAGTCACCCACTCTTGACTTATCACAGTACAACTGTCTCTACCTTGTCACTGTGAGTGACCCACTCTTGACTTATCACAGTACAACTGTCTCTACCTTGTCACTGTGAACCACCCACTCTTGACCTATCACAGTACAACTGTCTCTACCTTGTCACTGTGAACCACCCACTCTTGACTTATCACAGTTCAACTGTCTCTACCTTGTCACTGTGAGTCACCACACTACTCTTGACTTATCACAGTACAACTGTCTCTACCTTGTCACTGTGAACCACCCACTCTTGACTTATCACAGTACAACTGTCTCTACCTTGTCACTGTGAACCACCCACCCACAACTTGACTTATCACAGTACAACTGTCTCTACCTTGTCACTGTGAACCACCCACTCTTGACTTATCACAGTACAACTGTCTCTACCTTGTCACTGTGAACCACCCACTCTTGACTTATCACAGTAGTTCAACTGTCTCTACCTTGTCACTGTGAACCACCCACTCTTGACTTATCACAGTTCAACTGTCTCTACCTTGTCACTGTGAACCACCCACTCTTGACTTATCACAGTACAACTGTCTCTACCTTGTCACTGTGAGTCACCCACTCTTGACTTATCACAGTACAACTGTCTCTACCTTGTCACTGTGAACCACCCACTCTTGACTTATCACAGTACAACTGTCTCTACCTTGTCACTGTGAACCACCCACTATTGTCTTTTCACAGTACAACTGTCTCTACCTTGTCACAGTGAACCACCCACTATTGTCTTTTCACAGTACAACTGTCTCTACCTTGTCACTGTGAACCATCCACTCTTGACTTATCACAGTACAACTGTCTCTACCTTGTCACTGTGAGTCACCCCCTCTTCACTTATCACAGTACAACTGTCTCTACCTT